TGTGTGACCTTGAGGAAATCACTTTCCTTCTCTGAGCCGCATTTATAAAGTGCATCTATTAATACCCGGCCTGAAGAAATCCGGAAATAGTGAACTTGTCCAGACAGATAGCATGTCTTTAAAAAAGGAGAGAAAGGAAAAAGCACGTTCGTTTTTTCTGGTTACAAAACCATTTAAATGGAATAGTAGAAACAGCTTTTGCACGATTCCCTTTCTGCTACCAGTTCAGATTTAACAACTATTAGCAGTTCATTATATTTTCTTACTCTTTTTTGACTATATCAAATGTTATTTTAAACAAAAAATTGTCATACAACTTTTCCCCACTTAATGTATTTTGAACATCATTTAATGTTGGCATGACTAGACCGATCTCATCTTTCCCCCCCCAAAACCATTTTATTGGGAACTGATACAGATATCCTATCGCCCTATAGTTCAATCACATCAAACAGTATTGTACAATTGTTACCACAATAATTTCATCTTTTTTAATGGCAGTATTACATTCAAATCCCTTAATGGACATTTGTTGTTTCTATTGTAACAACAGCGCAACAAAAACTGCAACAAATATTTGTGGAAGAATTTCTGTAGGACATATTCTTGGAAGTTGAGTTGCTGTGTGAGAAGTGTAAGTTCATGTTAAATGTCGCTATTGTGAGTCAGTTCAGACTCAGCGTGACCCTAAAAGACAGAGTAGAACTACCTCTTAAACCAATGTGTTCTTAAAAGACATCAATCCATACTCCCACCAACAGTAAATACAAATACTGATTTCCTAGCACCTACACAGACATAGGATGAGACTTCTATTACTTTAATATATAGTGTGTTAGCTTAATTAGTGTCCTCTATCTTATTCCCTTGAGGAGCCCTTGTGGTGTAGTGTTTACGTGTTGGGCTGCTAGCTGCAAGGTCAGCAGTTTGAAACTAGTCTCTCCTTGGGCAAAATAAGTGAGGCTTTCTACTGAGTGCAGAGTTAAATTTCCAGAAACAGGCACTTCTACCCTGTTGCATGGACTCAATTGCCATTGAGTATTGTTAATTTAATTTCCCTGTTTTCTAATATCCATTGCAATGACTACACAGAACTCTCAGACAAAATTCATGATTAAAGGGTTTATTAAGGGAGTTAACAAGTTGCAATGCCAGTGCAAATCATTTGCCCTGAACTATTAACCTAAAGGTTAGTGATTAACCTAAAGGTTAGAGGAATGCTCAGGATAGACTTGTTTTTCAGGACATGTCACAAAGCTCTTTCAGGTCTGCTAGTAAATGCCCAAAGGGGCATACCACTCCCCTGTAAGGTTCAATTTGAGGCATAGGGCAAGCTCAAATTCCTAAATTAAGAGCCCAGAGGCACTCTACGCCCAAAGCTAGCCTTCTGCACAAAAGCACTTAGCTATACTTGTTCCATGCCGTTGGAAGTCCATCACTCTGTTCCATGCTCTGGCTCCTGGTTCTACTACTGCTTTTCTGATCCTGGATCCAGGTGGTTTACTGTGCAGGAATCTCAGGTCCAGAAGATGTACTCCACTTCTGACTCTTGGCAGGTAATGAGATCTCTCTTCCTGCTTCTTAGAGGGCTCATTTTATACACAGCAGGATGGCACTGCAGGGACTCCTGTTCACAATTACTCACAGGTAAATCAGTATCGTCCCCTACCTTCTAACCAGACCCATTCAGGGAAAGACCATTTGGTGGGCATTAGAGACGTGGCTAAAAGAGCCACATTCAATAATTCTCTGCCCCTGCAGATTGGACAATGAATGAGGAAGATGACAGAAGAATTTGTGCATTTGAATTAAGGTGTGGGTGGAGAGTGTTTGAAGTGGACTGCCAGAAGAACAACAACAAAAAGAAAAACTCTCTTGGAAGGATAAGCCAGCATACTCCTTAGAAGCAGGGATGACAGAACTTGGTCTCATATACTTTGGACCGTTATCTGGAAAGACCAGCCCCTGGAAAAGGACATCATGCTTGGTAAAGTAGAGGGCCAACCCAAATGAGCAAGACCTTCGAAGAGATGAACCGAAGTCACGGTGGCAGCAATGGGCTCGAGCGTCACCACCACGATGAGGGTGGTGCAGGACCAGGCAGGGCTGTGCCATTCTGATGTGCCCGTGTCCCTCTGAGTTGGAACAGACTCGATGGCCCCTAACTACACCAACAACAGTATCACACGGTTATCTGTTTGCCTTCCTTTATTCATCAAAAAGTTTCTGGGTGGTGCAAATCATTTGCCCTGAACTATTAACCTAAAGGTTAGTGATTCAAACCAGGAGGAAAGGTCTGGTGATCGGCTTCTGTAAAGATTACAGCCAAGAACACCCTGGAGAATAGTTAATACAGGGATCATCAGGAGTCAGCAGTGACTCTCTGGCAATGAGCAATCATGAGCAGGACTGTTTTATTTGTTTATCAGTCAATATTTTCCCTCTTTATTACTAAGCATCTAAACAATGCTGGCAAAAGAATACTGTGAATAAAGAGAGAGAGAGAGAGAGAGAGAATGTATCCACAGTACCTAACCCTTCGTTAGCACTCAGTGAACACGAGCTGAGTCTAAGTCTGGAGCCCAGTGGGGAGAGCGAGCTGGGTAATGAGTGCCCTGGAGCCCTCCCCTCCAGGACCATCTGCGATGGCTGGTTGCTATGGACTGTACAATGTCTGACTTCTCCCAGACCTCAGTTTCACAGTCTGAATAATATTGCAAGCGGCTCCAGGTTTATTAAACAGTCACTTAGGAGAAAAAGGAAATCGATTTGTAATAAGCATATAGTCATGTGCTTCTTCAGTAACTAAAACAAAGAAGTTTAAAAAGTAAATGTGAACATGTATAAGAAGAAAGGGAAAATAACCCTAAGGAGATATAGATTAAAAAAGAAGCTGACTGCCCTTCTGGTAACCTTAAATTTCCTTTTAAAATATGTGACATCATACTTGATAGAGCTGCTAGTCCATCTTTTCACCAATTGTATAGCTCCCTCTACCGTTCAGGTGGTCTCATTTAGAGATGCAGTTCAACACGGTGAACAGGATAAGGGAACAGAACCTTTTGCAGCCAGGCAATGTCTCCTCACTGAGCTGTGCTCTATTCTTGGCCCCATAACCAGCTCAGGGGACATAGAGTTCACGGTCTCATGGAGGAGATGCACTCGTGCAAATATGGGCGGGAATGACTTTGAGCCGGGGCCCGTGCTAAGCACATTACTTACATGAACTTTTAGTCTTACCAAAAGTCATGTAAGGGTTCTCACTGTCAGTGAGGAGCTTCTGACTCGTAGCAATGCTGTAGGACAGGGTAGAACTGTCCTGTGGATTTCTGAGACTGTAACTCTGTACGGGAGTAGAGAGCCTCATCTTTCTCCTGTACAGCCGTTGGTGGTTTCAAACTGCTGACCTTGTGGTTAGTAGCCCAACATGTAACCACTATGTCGCCAGGGCTATAACCCTATAAAAGGGTTATAGAAGAGGACTTAGGCCAAAAAATGTGATTGGTTCAAAAATCACAATTTAGTAAACAATGGCACAGGATCTGACAAAGATCTAGCTGTACCCCAAAGTCAGTCCTTTCCTACTACAGTCTATCATAAATGAACCAAATGATACAGATCACTGAAAAGGGAACATCTCGCGCTGCTCTGAATGTGTGTGGCTGGGAAGATTTCACAGAGTGGAGAACGGTAGTCTAGGTACCAAGAGCATCAGTAAACAGAGACATGAGGCTTGGACCTCTTCTGAAAACAGCAAGTTGAATCAGGTGTGGGAGGAAGAGAGGCAGGACATGAGAATTGAATCCGATTGTGCAAGGCCTCAAAGCCCAGGCTAAGGAAGGTGGACTCCAACCTCAAGCGTAGGGCTCACAAAAGAGCAAGTGTGCGGGAATTTTCTCAAGGTGATCAGGGATATGAGAAACCATAAGAAAATGTGGCACATCACCTGGAATGTCTCTTTTACTCACAAAAGCAATTTTATGTTATCCTTTGAAAGATGTATTATGGAATTGAATGTCAAATCATATGGATTTAGAAAACACCAATCCCAAAGAAGTGTCCCAGCTGTAGTAAGCTGCTTCTAAATGAGGGCAATGTTGGAAGTAGTAACTGGGAGATAGGTTAGTGGTGGAACTCTTTGGGGAAGCATTGCTACAGGCTTGGATGCAATTGAAAGATGAATACGGCTGACTGCTTTGGGAGAGATTCAGCTTAGGCTTTTTTGAACGATGGTTTTGAGCAAGCGAACAAAGCAAAAAATAAGTGAAAAAAACTTTGTTTCAAGAAAAAAATTTTGTTGCACACCAACTGCATCACTTACTCTGTGACCCACCCTTTGGACAATTACTTAAGCTCTCTCTACGTCCTTTTCCTCACCAGCCGAATGGAGATAATACTAACACATGTCCCATAGTGTCACTGAAAGTTCAATTAGAATAGAGTCCGGTGTAAAGTTCAGTCATCACCTCCCACAACCATTATTCCCTAGCTACGTCATGCCGCGGGTAAGGGTGGGTCTGGGAAGAACACAGAGGGCCCAGACTGACCACTCCACTTGTATAAGCTTATAATGATTGCTTTGTCCAGCTGCGCCTGCTGGTCACAATTGTTTGCTGAGTAAACGAATGAATGAATGCATTCCTATAAAACAATAGTGTTTGAGGGCGGGGACCATCCTTCCTGTTATATCCCTAGAACTGAGCACCTACTTGGGGGAACAGTGGTCCCTTTGGGATTGCTGAACCAATGAATGAGTGGATGGCTAATGGCGGCAGGCAGGAAATCACGAAGGCCAGAGGAGGGGCCCTGTCTTGGTGACGAGGTCAGCAAGCGAAGCGACACAGCGCCCGGCGGCAGCAGCGCGCGCCCTGCTGGGAAGCGCGGTCCCTCCGCGGGGCCAGTCATCCGGGATGGGGGTGGGGGAGGGATGGGAGGAGCGCGGCCAAGCCCCGCCCCTCGCTCACGTGACCGGGGCGGGGCCGAGGCGGCGAGCCACAGCCATGGCCGGCTTGGTGGACTTTCAGGACGAGGAGCAGGTGAAGTCTTTTCTGGAGAACATGAAGGTGGAGTGCAACTACCAGTGCTACCGCGAGAAGGACCCGGACGGTGAGCGCCGCCGGCGCGACCTGAGGACGCACGGGGGACACGTGGACGCGTGGGGGAGGGGCGGCTCGGCGGGGGTCACGTGGGCGACCCCTGCGCGTGGAGGGACGCTGGGGCGGTCACGTGACGAGCGGCGGGGGGTGGTCTGTTGGACTTTCTCGTGGCGGGGGCATGGGGGCAGGGTAATGACTGTCGGGGTCCCCGAGGACTTTGGGGCGCACAGAGGGCGAATGCCGGGCGTGACTCGGCCTGGCGGCCGGCGGGAGTGTTTGGAGCCGGAGGGTGGGCACACATCCCTGAGAAGACGGACTGCCCTGGCCTCGTGGAGTTTACCTTCCGGGAGAGCCGTCCGACAGTCCATCTCCGGACGGAATGAACTTGGGAAGTGCTAGTGCAGGGGACAAAATACGGGGCGGGGCGAATCAGGAGTTGAGCGCCCCGACTTAAATCCCGTGGTTGGGAAGCGCTGGGAGAGTCCCTTTGAACTAAGACCTGGGGTACGTCAGCGGGATGGCCGCGGGCAGGGGGCACGGCGAGTGGGAAGGCCCCAGGCAGGAATCTGCAGTGAGGGTTCGGTGAACTTTGGATTGCACTTTGAATGTCTGAGTGGGTTGGTGGTGCCTCAAGAGAGCTGGTTCAGAGCCAGAAAGGATTATCCAAAAGCCAGGGAGAGGTAGGTAAACCCATGTTTAACCTACTTATTGGGTAGTCAGACCAATGCCTTAGGGTGGTTTTCTTCCGACGTCACTTTAAAAAATAATAATTATAAGACTAATTAATTTGGTTCTACCTTCCAATACCTCGCAGCCTAGTTTCCAGAAAAAGACATAGCAATATTCCACGTTAACTCACTACACAGAGTTGCTCTGCTGTCCATCGGCTTAAAAAGAACCAGGATTTGCCTTTTGAGAGGTGGGCTGTGTTAAGTGTGGAAGAAATTCGTAGGAGTCAGAGCTACTGAGGAGAAGACTATTGGGGGAAGTCTGGAGAGACAGGCAAATGTTGGGTAAATGGAGGAGATAATGGGGGAAGAAAACTCATCTTTGGGAGCATTTGAAGACAAGCTGTAGTTGAAGTTAAGTTTGCAGAGGGAGCCTGGAGCTCCCTAACACTGTGACTGCTAGGGAAAGGAATACAGGCTTATTCTGGAGGCCACGGGGAGCCACGGGGGTTGTTGGTGAAGAGAGCTCCTGGTAGTGTACTGGGGAGCATATACAGAGTAGTAGAGGGAAGAAGATGGAGATTGGCCAGGGGCCACTTAGAAGGAGAACCTGACCTTTGACAGTTTCCTTGAAAGCCACTGTAATTTCTCACCTATAATCTATTTTCTACTTAAAGATAATATTTAAGTTATGCTAAATGTTGGTTAGATTTTAAAATAATAGAAATAATGTATTTGTTAGTATCAGGTCCAACGTGTACTCCTCCCCAACTTTCTCTATACTCATCAAGACTTATAAGAACATAGGAGGGGGTTTAAAAATGAAAAGATAATGGAGTTTTCCCACAGACTTTTTTTATTGTTAAACCATTTTATTGGGGGCTCATACAACTCTTATCACAATCCACACATACATCCATTGTGCCAAGCACTCCTATACATTTGTTTCCTTCATCATTCTCAAAACATTTGCTTTCTACTTGAGCCCCTGGTATCTACTCCTCATTTTTCCCCTCCCTCCCACAGACTTTTTGAAGGCTCCTCATATATGAGTGGATGTCAGAAAGTATTGTTACTGAATCATAGAAACCTTTATTAAATAAAATATCAAGATGAAAAACTGTTTCTCAACATACCCACCATCTAGTCTATGCTCTTCTGATGGCAGGATTTCTGTCTTCCTAACTTAACTGGTCCCTAAAGAATTCTGCACTCTGGTTACACTCTGGCTTACAAACTGGCGGCCTGCGGACCGCATGCAGCCACCGAGGTACTTTTTTGTGGCCCGCGATGCTCTGAAATAAAATGAAAAATAGAAAAAATTGTTATGAAGAAAATAGCACTTAGAGGAGATCGAGGCAATACCACACACATAATTCCCTCGTTACACGTGGCCTAGTGCCTATCCTGGCTGTGGATGTGTATAAACGCGCTGACAGAGTTCTGGCGACGTTTGGAAGCGATATGTCTGCCACTCTCAGTGTCATGTCATGTAAACAGATCCCAACAGCGAAAAGGTTAAAAAGAGCACTCTGGGTTGTGCTGTTATGAATCAGACCTAGCGGCAGCGCTAGTTAACATTTTTAGAGGGAAGCCATTACGATTGTGCATCATGTTTGTCAGCTGCCCAACATTTTGTTTGTTTTTATTAGTTGCTCTTATATTTTCCAGTCACAACATAAGGGGTAAGTGAAAACTAGTAGTAGGAAAGCACTGGCAAGTTTCGGGTAAAAAAGAATAATTTTAGTTTTATAAATACATAAAATAAAATAAATATTTAAATAAAAGCAATTATGTAGCATTTTAATTATCCTATCCATATTCCTGAATCCTCACTTCGAAATATACATTAAACAAAATTTGTAAATGTGATGTGGCCCACGCGAATCATGCCTGTTGCATCAAATGGCCGCGTTTTAATTGAGTTTGACAGCCCTGGTTTACACCATGTTGAACAGCTGTTTGGCCATTGTCAAAGGAATCGGATTCTATTCCCTTAAAATGTTCTTGGAATTTTGGAAACAAAAAGAAGTCTGAAGGGCCTAGAGTGGAACTACAGGGAGGATATTTTCTTAATAAAATTCTCATGGGGCCTCCCCTTTTGACCCTGGATGAGTGAGCAGGTACATTGTTATGATGGGGGGAAAGTTTCCTTTTTTAAAAATCATTTTATTTACAGCTCTTATCCCAATCCATGCATACATCCATTGTGTCAAGCACATTTGTACATATGTTGTCATCATCATTTTAAAAATTCTTTCTTTCTACTTGAGCCCTTGATATCAGCTCCTCATTTCCCCCTTTTCCCCACACTTCCTCCCTCATGAATCCTTGATAAATTATAAATTATTATTGTTTTCATATCTTACACTGTCCACTGTCTCTCCCTTCACACCTTTCTGCTGTTCAGCACCTGGGGGTAGGGTGAGGTTGTACGTTGATCATTGTGATTGGTTGCCCCTTTCTCCCTCACCTTGCCCCTGCCCTCATGGTATTGCTACTCCCATTACTGTTCCTGAGGGCTTTATCTGCCCTGGATTCTCTGTGTCAGAGCTCTTATCTGTACTAGTGTACATGCTCTGCTCTAGTCGGGTTTGTCAGGTAGAACTGGGGTCATGATAGTGGGGTGGAGGAAGCAGAGGGATGTTGTATGTTTCATTGTTGCTATGCTGCACCTAGCTGGTCTTCATGTAACAGTTTTAGCACCCATCATGCTGAAATGTTGCTGAAGCCAAGATGTTCACTTAAAATTGAAAGTGACCAAAAAAAAAATTTTTTTTAATTGAAAATGACAAACTACGTGAGATCCCAATTTGAGTAGCTGTCACATCCATGGTAATTTTGTGGTCTTATCTCACCATTTTCTGGAAGTCACCATAATTTCTTCATTTGTTAAGGTTGACAGTCTTTCTCGAATCATCTCTGAGGTCTTCCTAAATTTCCTTCATCCATTTAAATCTAAACATTTCTTTTATGTGGGGCTGCATTGCTGTAAACTTGTTGCCACACTTGAATAGTTTGGGAAGGTGCCCTTGTGAGTTTTGTTTAAGATTTGATACTAGCCCTTGTTTTGAAGACAAGCTCATGAGAACTTGTCTGCATCCATCGACTGGTTGTAGAGACATGTTTAAACATACTTCCTTTGGAATAAATCCATGCATGCATGAACTGGAACCCAAGAAGCAGATCAAACCTTCCAAAGATTCAAGTGATTCTATCACTCCACTCCTAAAGCACTCAGAACAAAATCCCAGTTCCGTTCCTCTATGGGCTCCATGACCCGCCTTTTCCCATTTCCTGCTCCTTTCTTTCTCATCATTCCTTACCCGCGCAGACCTAATTCCCCTCACCTGTTGTTGTGTTTACTGCTCCCTGTGCCTGGAACTTCCGTTGCTCTTCCCACTTCAGTGTGTTTAAATAGCTAGTGGTTTTTTTATTCAGTATCCGCTCAGACAGGTCCTCAGTGAGCCCTCCCCGGCCACCGCTACAAACTCACCTCCTGTTATTTCATTCTTAGTACTTACTACTGTTTGAAAACATCATGTTTACTTATTTACTTACTTATGTCTGCTTCCTTTTCAAGAATATAAGTTTTAAGAGGTCAAGTGATTGTATTCCCAGCACCTAGAATGACATTTGTTACATAGATGTTCAAATATTTGTGGAATAAAAGTGAATGGAAAATGTGATACGTAGTGTCGGTGGGTCTGAAGAGGAGTGGGCAGAGGGGAGAGATGGTAAAGGGAGAGACTCCCGTGGGGGCCAGGGGGAGGCAGGACCCTATGTACAGGTTCCTTAGTGTTACGGAGTCGCCCAACACAAGACCACTGACCCACAAAACTGCAAACAGAAAAGAAGTTTATTCAAGACAGAAAAGAGAGGGAAATGGGAAAGTGCCCATACCCTAGACAAACCCGGGCTTGGGCTACAGCATAGCCATGCAGGGTCTAATGCTGCAGCCCCGAGTGAGGGTACCCCAGTCCTTATATATTCTTTACAAAGCAGCTAATCTTTGAAGTTTATGAGAACAGGGAAGAAGAATAGCTGGTGCTGAATGTCAGGACGCGGTCAAGCGGAGTGTTCCTGCTTGTCCCAACTGGGTGACAAATGTCCTGGGCGATTGGGGAGTTTCCTGCTGATGCTATCAGGCTTGTAACCGCAAGGTCACAAAGTCCTGAGAAAAGGGAGAAAAGTTTCTTTCTTCTCAATAAGCAATTAACTTAGGAATGATTACAAAATGGAGTAACTTAGGGCAATCTCGTACACCGGAGTAATTTAGGGCAATCTCGTACACCTCTACACTTAGTAGCTGATCCCTGTTCTTTCTTGAGGCTTTGCGTTCCATCCTGATAGAGTAAATAAGCTACATTCCTTTCAGCAGCCCCTTCTTGCAACTAGCCAGGGGCCTGTCTTTGGTGCTCAGTGTTTGGTTTTCCCATCAAACTGTTGCCTGATGGGAAGTTCCAAAGCTGGCAAAGCTTCAGTCCTGGAAGTTGGTAGGGCTTTAGGCCTGACAAGAAACAGCTGGCCTGGGAGTGGTGAAGCCAGTACAGGGGCCAAGGTCTTCCAGTCCAAACGGTGCACAGTCTCTGGCCAAGGGGCGATGGGGTTGTCTGTCGGAGTGACTGAACTCTTTCATGCCCTTTGTAGTAACATCATGTTGTGACACCTCTTCTTCCCACCACCTGGCAGCAGCCCCAGACCTAAAGAGCAGCTCTTGTCCTCTTCACAGGTTGCTATCGGTTGGTGGACTATTTGGAAGGGATCCAGAAGAATTTTGATGAGGCCGCCAAGGTTTTGAAGTTCAATTGTGAGGAGAACCAGCACAGTGACAGCTGCTATAAACTGGGGGCCTATTACGTGACCGGGAAAGGTAAGGAGAAGCCTGCTTTCTTCGGACCTTGGTGTCACATCCGGGGCCTCATGCTGAGCCCTCTTTACAAGGGGCCCTCACAGGCATTAGGGAAGTGGATTGTAGGAAGATTTATAGAGATAAGCTCCACTCAGTGATGGGGAAAGCCGCAGTCTTTCTAGTTAGACTCGAAGGAATGCTGTTTGCAAGTGGTGAGACCTCTGAGCCAGTCGCTGTGATGCTGTGCCTTAGTTTTATTGCCTCTCACATGGGTGAGATGATACTTGCTGTTGGTGAGGATTCACTAGGGTAATGGAGGAGGTAAAGGCAGCAGCACAGGGACTAGCACAGAGTAAGGGCTCGGTAATTAACCCTCTTTCTTCTGTCTTTTACCCCTCAGGCCCGAATTGTCCCTGTCTCCAGAGTAAATTTGTTATTTATTTCTGTATACCAAATTACCTCAACAAATAATTGATTATCTTACAGTTTCTGTGGGTCAGGAATTTGGGTGGAGCAGCTTGGCGGAGTGATTCTAGATATGTGAAGGCTTGGCCGGCTAGGGCTGGAGGAACTAGTTCTCAGGTGGCTTGCTCTCATGGCTGTTAGCAGAGGCCTCCGTCTCCAGCACGGCTCTTCCAGAGGACTGCTTGAATGTCCTCGGGACGTGTCAGCTGGCCTCCCCTAGAGCAAGTGACCCAAGGGAGAGCAAGATGGAATGGGCACCATCTTTTAAGACTGGCCCTGAACGCGTACATTTTTTTTTCCCATTTCTGTTACAAGCCCACACTAAGGAGAGAAATTAAATGCCACCCCTGAAAGGGAGGACTGTTAAAGAATTTATAGAAGTATAGGGAATGTGATCTTTAGTATTGTTCATTGAGGCCAGGATGATGGTTGACTTAGGGCAACTTCTTTGTGTCCAGTAGAACTGCTCCTTAGGGTTTTCAAGATGTTGGAGGCCTGTCTTCTGAGACATGGCTGCATGTGTGCAAACTGCCAACCTTGTCACCCAGACAGTTCGTGATCTTTAATAGAGAGTTTTTTTCCCTCCTTGCCTCGGCTAAATTTTTATCCAAAACATCCTCTTCTGCTGCTTGGGTTAACTCATTTAGGTCTCTTATCTTCCTTTCACAGGTAGCTAAAATGAACTTTTAAGACTGTAAAACAAAAATTGGATGAAAGATAAGAAACACCAATTTTCAGACATTGGATAATAGGCAGTATAGGCCTGTCCTCCCTGAGAAAAGGGAAATAGCACAAGGTGAACCCCTCCACAATCAATCAGTTTGGCTTTTTGCCTGGAGGTGCTTTCTAGATGAGGCTTAAAGAGGAGGAAGCCCAGCAGAGCATGTCTGTCTGGCTAAAGTGAGGAAGCAGGTAAGAGATGGCCGCTGAGTCAGCCGAGTTAGAGACAGGACCTGCACGTAGAAAGAGCTTCAGGAATCCACATACAGGTAGGTCCCTTTAAGGTACTGGTCCGTTGGTAAGCTGCACATGTCTAGGTTTAAGACTCAGAGACCTGGTAATGAGAAACTACTATGGAACTGTGCGCTGAAATGTTTCAGAAGATAGTGCTGAGTCATTTGATTTTCATCCAGCCAGAATAAAGTATCATTTATAATGTCCAGCATAAAGTAAGAAATTATTAAACAGGTAGGGCAGGGAAACCAAAAACAACCAATAGAAACATATCTAGAGATGACAGATAGGTGGGCATTAACAAAGACTCTTAAAACAGCTGTAAAAGGTTTAAAGTTTTATTAAAAGACGATGGACATGAGTGAACAAATGAGGATTCTCAGTAGAAAATTTCAAACTATTAAAAAAGAACCAGAAGCACAGCAGCCTGCGTGATCACGAGGTGTCGAAGGGACCCGATATCAGGCATCAAAGAACAGAAAATCAAATGATTGTGAATGAGGAGGAGTGCACATTGGGGACCCAAAGCCCAAATGTAGGCAACTGGAAATCCCCTTACAGAAGGGTCGCAGGTAGGAGACAAGCCAGTCAATGTAGTGTAGCAATGATGAAACAAACAACTTTTCTCCAGTTCCTAAATGCTTCCTCTCTGCGCCCCCCTCCCCCCCACTATCATGATCCCAGTTCTACCTTACAAATCTGGTTAGACCAGAGGATACACTGGTACAGATAGGAACTGGACTGGAAACACAGGGAATCCAGGACAGATGAGCCCTTCAGGACCAGTGGTGAGAATGGTGATATTGGGAGGGTGGAGGGCAGGTGGGGTGGAAAGGGGGAATCGATTACAGGGATCTACATATAACCTCCTCCCTGGGGGACGGGCAACAGAGAAGTGGGTGAAGGGAGACATTGGACAGTGTAAGACATGAAAAAGTAATAATTTATAAATTATCAAGTGTTCGTGAAGGTGGGAGTAACAGGGAGGGAGGGGGAAAAATGAGCTGATACCAAGTAGAAAGCAAATATTTTGAGAATGATGATGGCAACAAATGTACAAATGTGCTTGACACAATGGATGTATGTATGGATTGTGTTAAGAGTTGTATGAACCCCAAAGAAAATTATTAAATTTTAAAAACCCAAAAAATGAAATTCTAGAATTAAAACAATATTTAAAATGAAAGTTCAATGGCAGGCTGATTGAAGAAAGTACAATAGACACTATTTAAATTGAATCAAAGAGAAAAAAGCTGCTCCACTTCAAAAAAGACCTGTGGAACACCACCCATCAATCTAATGTGTGCATCTTAGAGTCTGAAGAAGGAGCGAGAGAGTGCTATACAAAAAATATTCACTGAAACAATGGCTAAAACACTCACCAAATTTGATGAAAAATATCTTCTTTTAGTTCCACGAAATTCAGCCTCCCTAAACAGGATAAACAAAAGGACATAAGTAGGCAATTTGATGAAAACCAAACAAAAATTTACAAGCAATCAGAGAAAGGCACATTGCATTCAGGGAACAATGGTGAGGATTCTCATGTCCATTAGAAGCATTGTAAACTAGAAGATAAACCACAACATCTTTCAAATGCTGAAAGAAAAGCATGTTCAACCTTTAATTCTCCTCCACAACAATTACCTTAAAAATGAAGAGAAATAAGTTCATTTTCAGATAAGCAAAAGCTGAGATCGAATGATTTGTACTACGAGAAATGCTTCCGATGATGACAAAGTCCCAAATGGAAGTCCCAATCACCACAAAGAATGAAGAGCACTGGAAATGTGTGTGAGGTGGAGTAGAGCCCACAAGGCAACCCTCTCTGCTCATACCAGTTGCAAGTTCGGGACTTCACAAGAGTGTCCTGAGGTTTAATAATTTGCTAGAAGAGTTCATCAAAAAACCAAATTAAGGTCATGGCCATTATGTTGATTCCAATTCATAGCAGCCCTGTAGGACAGAGCGTCAAAGATAACTCTTGTCCATAAATTTCCCAGCTCAGGTGACGAGCTTTGTCCATTGTGCCTTCTCTGAAGGCGCTGCCTTAGAAACAGAAGTCATGGCTTCTCTGCACACCAGTCTTGGCTAGCCGTCAAGCACTTGCACCACTTCACTGAAGTCACTCGAAGCGGTGACCCTCATGGTTACAGCATGTACCGGAAAGGGATACAGACTACAGTCAGCCAAGGGAAGAGCATTGGTCTAGGGAACTTCCAAGCCCCAATCTCCAAGAAATCCTTTCCCAGTGGAATCGTGGACAGCACTACTCCTGGTAATGACATGTAACAGCGTGCATGGCGTATGCCAGCCAGAGAAGGTCATGCCAGCCTCCGTGTCCAAACTTTATATTGTAGCCCCATCACATGGGCTTCGTTGATTTTCCACACTGCTCCACATTCTTGAGGTAAGAGGCCGAGCCGACCCAAAGCTCCCACACTAAATCACATGGTAGACTGTTCTGTGACCTTGGGCCCGAAGCAACCCAAAGCTCTTTATTAGGCATGAGATTATAGTTATTTAGGGATTATTTTCCAGAAACTCTTGGGGCAAGGTTAAATACCTTACTATATAATATAATTCGTATAGACATAAATGGAGGCATTTCCCCCTCATTTCTTAATGTCATTTAAAGACTCTAAAGGGAGTTTCAATTTTCATATAGAATTTAGAATTGACTGAGCTTATTGAGACTGGAGGAACCCTTGAATCTGTTGCTCTGAGAAAAAATTTGAACCTTGTATTGAAACTATCCCTGAAGTCATCTTCAAACTAAACAACAGTGTGGCTGGATTAATGAAGAATATTCACCTGAGCACTGCACTCTTTCATACTGAGGTCAGATGAACTTGACAACAGTAATTCTGAAGATAGATAAGTAGTTGAAGAGGCAGTGGGGAAACAATATGGGGAAAGTGCCAAAAATGGTGATACAATATGTACAATTAAATTGTACGTGTAGAAAAGAATATGTGTATGGTCTGTGCATATTGTCACCAAAAATAATCTTTACAAAAGACGTTAAGGAGTAATTAATAGCAAAGCGTTTTAATGCTTATAGAATAGATAGAAAATATATGGCAGCAATAGCACAGAGGATGACAATATAGTAAATAAACACATTGTGTTTTTGTTTGTTTTTGACACATTGTTGTAGTGTAACAATCAGGGTTCTTATATATAAAGTAGTATATAATTCATGGTCAATTATGATAAATTAAGGCTGGATATTTTAATCCCTGGATAAACCATTAAGAAAAGAAAAAGGGTAGCTGAGAAAGTCAATTATAGAAATAAAATTGAATGTTCAGTTCAAAGAAGAAGGGGTGGGTGGGGTATCAAATGAACATATGGGAAACAAGATTATAGACTTAATCCCATTTATATAATTATATTAAATATAAGTAGAATAATAAACTTTCCAATAGGCAGAGTTTGCCAGACAAGATTTTTTAAAAGCCAGACCCAACTATATGCTGTTTAAAAGTAGCCCACGTAAATTTTTAAAACTCAAACGACTCAGGGCATCTAAATATAAGTCTTTCTCAGAAAAACCTGTCTGTTAACCAATGAAGAATGGATCCTGGGGAGGAGATGAGCCAGTCAGGGTGCACTGTAGCAACGATGAAACTTTCCTCTAGTTCTTAAATGCTTCCTCCCCCCTGCCCCACCCTCCCTCTACTATCATGATCCCAATTCTACCTTACAAATCCGGCTAGACCAGAGGATGTACACTGGTACAGATAAGAACCGAAAACACAGGGAATCCAGGACAGATGATCTCTTCAGGACCAGTGCTGAGAGTGGTGATACCGTAGGGTGGTGTAGAAAGGGGGAACCGATGATAAGTATCTACATATAACCTCCTCCCGGGGGATGGAAAACAGGAAAGTGGGCAAAGGGAGACATTGGACAGTGTAAGATATGACAAAGTAATAATAATTTATAAATTATCAAGGGTTCATGAGGGAGGGGGGAGCAGCGAGAGAGGAGGAAAGTGAGGAGCTGATACCAAGGGTTCAAGTAGAAAGCAAATGTTTTGAGAATGAGGGCAACAAATGTGCTTGACAATGGATGGATGTATGGATTGTGATGAGTTGTACGAGCCCCCAATAAAATGATTTAAAAAAAAAAGAATGGAGCTAAGGATATAATTCAAGGATGGAAACTTTTACAGAAGTACTATTGATAAGAACATAAGTGACAAAAGCAGAAGGTGGTGGGATGGAGCCTCACGGTCCTTCGTATCCTATTCCTACTACTTGGGACAGACCAGCTACAGTTATCATAATGCCCTGGGCACTTTCTTCAGTTATCTTTCTATGTATGTATCTATGTGGTGATTTAATGTTTGTTTTACCAAACTGTTGTGCGTGGTCCTGTTCCCCAGGCCTTAACATCTAAACTCATTGCCGTTAAGTTGATGCTGACTCAGAGTGACCTTATAGGACAGGGTAGAACTGCCCTTTTTAAGTTTCTGAGACTGTAACTCTGTACAGGAGTAGAAACCCCCATGTTTTGAATTGCTGACCTTGTGGATCACAGCCCAATTTGTAACCACTATGCCACTAGGGTTCCTAGGATCTGACATAGTAATTGACCCCAAAATAGGCATGCAATAACAGTCTCGGTGGCACAGTGCTTGCATTTCGCTGGTAACCATAATGCCATCAGTTTGAAGCCACCAGCTGCTCTATGGGAGAAAGATTTGACTTTCTACTCTAGTCAAGATGTAAGGTCTCCAAAACCACAGTGACCGTTTCCTCGGCCTTATAGGCTCATTATTCCAGGCCTTCTGCCTACCTCATAGTATATGAATTTCATTACTGAAGTCGTCCCTCATTTAGGCTGGAGACATTCAGAGTGTATCCTAGCTTGAATTTACTTTCTCATTTCTTTTTCTCCCAGGTGGGCTGACTCAGGACCTGAAAGCTGCCTCTAACTGCTTTCTGATGGCCTGTGAGAAGCCAGGAAAGAAGTCTGTGGAGGCATGTCACAATGTTGGCCTCCTGGCACATGATGGGCTGGTCAATGAGGATGGCCAGCCTGACCTGGGGAAGGCCAGGGACTACTACACAAGGGCCTGTGATGGCAACTATGCTGCCAGCTGCTTCAACCTCAGTGCCATGTTCCTCCAGGGCGCCCCGGGTTTCCCCAAGGACATGAATCTGGCATGCACTTACTCAGTGAGAGCGTGTGACCTGGGCCATGTCTGGGCCTGTGCCAATGCCAGCCGCATGTACAAGCTGGGGGATGGTGTGGATAAGGATGAGGCCAAGGCCCAGATGCTCAAGAACCGGGCCCAGCAGTTGCATAAAGAGCAGCAGAAAAGTGTTACTCCCTTAACGTTTGGGTAGCGTGGCCAGCCCTCTGAGGCAACGGACAGCCTGAGGCTAGTACCTCCTGTTTCTGAGAATTAGGACCATCCTTTGAGGTCAACCTTCTGGAGCATGAAGACTTTGTTGAACTTGAAGCTCATTGTTCTGCTTATGTACACCGATGGCCCCAGATTGTCACCTAGTGGGTGCAGCTTGCAAGTTCATTTCAACCAGTAGTCCTTTATCTGGGTGTGTTCTGTGAAGACACCCAAGTCTAGAGGGGGTCTTGGCCTTCAAACTCCTGCAGCTCTTTGAAAAAGAGAAGCGTGTTTGGGAGCCATAGACACTTGGTGGAAGGGAAAAAAATCAAGTTGGAGAAATCAGAAACCATAGAACCTGAAAGAATCAGAAATGACATTTTTATTACTACCACTCCATCACTGCGGAGGGCTTGAAAATCAGAAAGTGCCTTGGTTTACATAACGGAGAACCTTCAGAGGAGTCACTATTGCCCCCCTCTGCCTTGCACCTTCGTTGGTGTGGGCTCCCTTTTGCCTTTAGAATGAAGTCTTTAAGTAAACTCAGAGCACTCAGGAGGTGTGTGTAACATGAAGGTTAAAGGTTGTCGTGCTTCAGGGTTGCCCAGTGGGTGAGATACAAGCCTGCCATCTGGTAGAGGAGACCATGGTGAGTGATTAGCGGCCTCAGCAGTTCACCTGGCCCTGTTCATCATGCTGGGGCAGCGGATTATTCCAGGCAGCTTCAGCTGGAAATTCATGAGAATGGACCTTGTGACACTTTTTGTCTCCTGAATAAATTATTTTGATTTATTAGCACCTTGTGTTCTGTGTAGTGTTCTCTTCAGAGGCCATGGCAGGCTGTGCTTTTTAAGAATCTTTGTCTTGTATCTCCCTGGTCACTAGGGGGCGAGATGGTGGTTTGACTGCTGGTTACTGTGCCTGCCGTCTCCACTTCCTGCTTGTGGCTGCCAGGTTTGCAACGCCTAGAAGGAAGCAGGCTTCTCAAGTTGATGGAGGAAAGGGACTTTGCCCCCAGAGCAGGGCTTTAAAAGGCAGCGAATGTATTTAAAAAAAAAAACATTTTATTAGGGGCTCATACAACTGTTACCGCAACCCATACACACATCAATTGTGTAAAGCGCATTTGTACATC